ATTACTTTTGAAAATAATTGAATTCTTGAAACGAATTTTATTAAAATTTCTTTTTAAATAATTGGATTCATTTGTGAAATTTTATTGAAATAGTTGACATTAAAAATAATTGAATTTTGACGAAAATTTATTACAATTATTTTTAAAGAAATTGAATTGTTACAAAGAATTTCTATAAAATTTTTGAAAATAATTTAATTCTTTGAAGAAATTTAATTGAAAATGTATTGAAAATATAGGCAAAGGTTTTTAAAATATTTGAATTTCTTTAATAAATTTTAATACAATTTTTATGAATAATTTCATTTTTCGAGAAATTTAATTGAAAATTGTATTAAAAATAATTGAAAATCTGCCAAAAATTTTAATAAAATTTTTGAAAATAATTAAATTTTGGAGAAAAATTGAGTTTTATTATTTATGAAAATAATTGAATTCCTGTAAAGAATTTTATTATATTTGTAAATAATTGAACAATAATTGATGAAAATAATTTTGTAAGTAATTGAATACTTGTAAAATTTTTATTATTTATGAAAAAATAATGAAATATTTGCGTAGAATTTATTAAAAATTTTTTTTAACTAATTGAATTTCGATCATAATTTCCTGACTTTTCCAGGATTTTTCAAGGCTTATAAAATTCCCCTAACATTTCCAGGTTGCGTGACAACCCTGACTCCTAAACCTTGCACAATTGCCAAAATTCAATTTTTGAAATTTCCAGAGCAATAAATGTCCAATTTTTGAAAATAATTGATTTTCGGAGAAGAATTTTTTTATTTTTAAATATATAATTGTTTGTCCAGAATTTTTTAAAAAATTTTGAACATAATATTTTTCTACCTGTCACTCTGAATGCACTTTTGTTTGGAAATTAAAAACAAAAATATAAAATTTAAAATAACAATAGTCACACAGTTAACAATGAATAACAATAAATAATCATAGTCATAATAGTTCTCTGTAAAATAAATCGTTAAATTTTATTAAGCTATTTAACAAACAATATCTTCCTTTACGATTATGACAAACTCCTTTTTTTCTTCCTATCACACCTGAGTGATCTTTGCAACCATAAAAAATTGTCACGGAAGTTGTGGGAGGAAGACCGTTACATTTGTGTTGGTAACGCCAAGTAATATCCGGAGAGCTTATTGGCCACTTCAAAAGAGGCGAAATTTACGCAAAGAAAAAAAAACAGCAAATTCAAAACAATAACAAACTAACAAATAAATTTACACAATGACATCTTTTTCCTTCTTTCTTTTCCTTTTATTTTTTATTTGCAGAGAATATTCAGTGCCTCGTTAACTTTCAAATTGAATAGCAATGAACTTACTTAGTGCTTGGCGAAAAAAAGACCTCTTTTTAAAATACATCAAAACCGAAGTATGCTTCAGAGAAATAAATTTTCACGAGCTGAATAATTTAAACAGTTTCCTACTTTCGTGATAAAATTTCTAGGGAATTTCGCTGAAATTCAACCCCTTTTTGGGTCAAACATCGTTAGGTAAACGTAAGTGGTGTGTCGTGTGATGTTACTAATTGTGTTAAAAGTGAGGGCAGAGGAAACGGACATACAGAAAATCAACCCTAGCTCAACAAAGTTGGATTATTTCAATGTGCTATATATATGCATAACTAGAGTCTCAAACCACCGCATCATTTCTCATGAGGAAAAAAAGGTCAAATTTATCGTCGCATGACTTTTCAGTTATTCTCTAAAAAAATCTCATTAAAAAGGAAAAAAAAATTCTACTTCCTGAATTCGATACTACGAAGAAGAAAAATATTCACATTTTTTATCCTAAAAATGACAAAACTGAAACTTTTTTTTCTCCTTCTTTATAAATAAAAATAAACTGGGTCACACGATAAGGGAAACCCTAAAAAAAAATAAATAAAGATAGAAATCTTCAGTAAATGTTTTCCTTTTTAATACATCTATTATTCTACTTAAACAATTTTCCCGATCTTTATCAAATTCGAAGAAGGTTTAAAAAAGTAATCTGTTTGGCAAGTTTTGAAACTCTCGGGAGAATAACTTTGACCGATTGACCACTTTAGTAGTTGAGCTGTTGATTGCTTTTAACCAGTTGAAAACATTTTTCTTTTATTATGTTTGGGAAGTATAGTCATATCAGTATTGCGCGGCAGTTTTGTGGTTTCGATTTCTCAAACTCTAGATAAAGTTTATCTTGATAAAAAGATTCATAAATCCGATTATAATTGAATCTCAGATTCAATTCAAGAAATTTATATCTATTGGTTAACAATATTCCCCTTTCAAATATATATATCATGACGAACTTTAGTTATAAATAATAAACTTATATAGTTCGCTTCACTGAATTAGCATTGTAGTATCTTAGTACCCAAAAGTTTTGTATATAAAGGGAACAAAACTTCTTTTCCGGCTTTAAACGTATACTTCCTGTTATACAATAAAAGAAAAATTTAATTAAACCAAATTATAACTCTTGGTTCAAATCTTGACCCAAATAAAAAGTTGCAAACACGACTGCACAAAAATTAAGTACTTAAACATAAAAATAAAATATTAAAAACGTAAAATTTGTGGCAAAAATTAAAAATTGAATACAGGGTTGTCACGCTTTTGCTCTTTTCAAATTTCCTGACTTTTCCTGACTTTTCCAGGTTAAAAAACGAAATTTTTCCAGGATTTTAAAATACATTTATATTTTACCAAATTAAATAATTCCCTGATTTCCAGACAAAATTTTTATTTTCTTCCTGACTCTATAAAGAACTATATTTTTAAATAAATATTTAATCATTATTATTTTTTCATAGAAGTTAAGATTTTAAAAAATGTTAAATTCAATAATATAAGAATATTATTAAAAAAACATGAAGATATCGATCGATCTTCATGTTTTATAATAATTAAATCTTGCTACTTTCTTACTGTAACTTCTTCAAAAATTATTTTCGTTATTTCGATTATTCATTTCTAGAATTTTCAACTAAAATCCTTCTTTAAAACAATTTTTGAAAAAGTTTTTTGTGAATTTTTAAATCCCTTTTTTAAAACTTAATTTTACGAAATTTCGATTATTTTGATATTCTTCAATTACATATATTAGAAATTAAAAACTTGAAATAATTAAAAAAAAACATTCCATTAAACTTTTTGAAAAAAAATAATTCGACAAAATTCTTAATTAAAAGTATGAAAAGTTCGAATATTCAAAGATTTTAAATTGAAATCTTTTGAAAATTGAATTATTTCTAAAAATCTACGCTATAATGCTTTCAATATTCAATTATAATTTAAAATTTTAAGTGAAATCCATTTTTAAATTCATTTTTATTAAAAAATTCCAGGAGAATTCAATTATTTAAATACGGAAATAAATATTTTATTAAATAATTGAATGTTTCTTAAAATTGAATTTTCACAAAGAATTTAATCAACAAATTTTTAAATCATTGAATTCTCTTGACAAATTTTAGACAAATTTTTGAAAATAATTTCATTTTTCGAAAAATTTAATGAAAATTGTATTAGAAATAATTGAAATTCTGACAAGAATTTTATTAAAATTTTTGAAAATAATTGAATGTCGGAGAGAAATTTTATTCTTTATAAAGATAATTGAAATTTTGACAAGAATTTTATTAAAATTTTTTAAAATAATTGAATTTCGGAGAATTTTATTATTTATAAAAATAATTGAAATTTTGATGAGAATTTTATTAAAATTTTGGAAAATAATTGAATTTCGGAGAAAAATTTTATTATTCATAAGGATAATTGAAATTTTGTAAATTTTTTAACTAAATTGAAGTTTTGTGAAGAATTATATTACTTTTGAAAATAATTGAATTCTTGAGACAAATTTCATTAAAATTTCTTTTTAAATAATTGGATTCATTTGTGAAATTTTATTGAAATAGTTGACATTGAAAATAATTGAATTTTTCCAAAATTTATTAAAATTAGTTTGAAAGAAATTGAATTGTTATAAACAATTTCATTAAAAATTTTTGAAAATATTTTGAAAAAATGTTGAAAAAATTTAAGTAAAAATGTATTGAAAATATAGGCAAAGGTTTTTAAAATAATTGAATTTCTTTAATAAATTTTAATACAAAATTTTTAAGAATAATTTCATTTTTCGAGAAATTTAATGAAAATTGTATTAAATATAATTTAAATTCTGCGATGAATTTCATTTTTTATGAAAATAATAATTGAATCCCTGTAAAAAATATTATTTATGAAAATAATAAAATGTTTGCGTAGAATTTTATTAAAATATTTTTCAACTAATTAAATTCTTTTAGGAATTTTTATTAAAGTAGTAGATATTAAAAATCATTGAATTGTGGAAAGTTTTTGAAAATAATTAAAATTTTTCCAAGAATTTTATTTAAATTTTTGAAAATAATTGAATTTCTGAGAGGAATTTTACTACTTTTGAAAATAATTGAATTTCTGCAATAATTTGTAATTGCTCGAAAATTCAATTTGTCTTAGTGTTTTTAACTAAAACATCTACTTATGAAAATTGTAAACGCAACTCCTTTAAAATTTAATTAATTTTGAAATATTTAAGTAAAATTAAATTTCTAGAATTTTTAACTATAATTCTTCTTTAAAAAAATTATTTTTATTAATTTTTGAAAAAGTTTTTTGAAAATTTTCAAATTCATTTGTTTACAATTCAACTTCACAAAATTTCGATTATTCGGAAATTCATCATTTAAATATTTAGAAAATAAAAAAAGAATTTAAAAAAAAATTCAATTAAACTTTTTCAAGAAAAAATTAATTCTACAGAATTGTTAGTTAAAAGTATGAAAAATTCCAATTTTCAAAGATTTTAATTATAACAATAACTTTAGAAAACAAGAATTTTCCAGGTTTTCGATAAAAATTCCCTGACTTTTCCAGGCTTTTTCAAGGTTTATAAAATTCCCTTACATTTGCAGGTTTTCCCTGGAATATTAATTATAAGAGAAAAAGTTACCTTGAATCCTTACGAAGAGCAAATTCCCTGAAGTTCCTTAGAAAGTCTTCTTCTTCCCCTTACTTCCGTTCACAATAAAGATTGGTATTTTATGGAATCCAAAATCAGCCGTCCTGAAAATCAATTTAATTAAACTCCTTTATTTAAAGTCTAATTGAAGTAAACAGCGTGTAATTTAGATAAGTTTCAAGCATGCTTCTTCAATATGGATCTTTCTATATATATGTATATTAGAAGAATGGTCGGATTGCGGTTTCCTATCTTCTCCGCGAGTAAGGTTTCAATAGCGAGTTTCAAACTGTTCTGAAACTTGAAAACCTAAGTGACGTACTACATACATATAACTTGAAAGCTCAAATTTCATTATCCTCTTAATAGACACGCTTTTATCTGAGACTTTTATTCGTTATCGGACATTCTATCCTATTTTCCATTGTGTTGCACTCATTAACAGAAAATAAAATTACCGCTTCTCATCGTGTTTCTTCTTTTTATATAACAAAGCTTCCTCTTCAAGGAGCAAAACTATATATATAGCCAAAGTCGTGAGGTGAAATCAAAAGCATACAAATGAAAAAAAAAGAATAAATTCTGAAGAACTGATGAATTGCGATGTATTATATCAAAGTTTCAAAAGATTCACTGAAAGACGAATACAGTTGGAAAAATAATTAAATACTAGAATCGGATGCTGGATTATACCTTAAAAATCATTTAAGAAGGAAGTTGACATGACTAATTTTAAAGATTTTTTCATACTTTTGTAATACACTGCGAAACAAAAAATTTATTTGATTTAAATAACTGTATACTTGTCTATTGTCAAATAAATATTTACTTGAATCAAATAAATTGAATTTGAACCAATAAATTCAGTCTTTGAAGCAAATACCATTTAATTGACTCAAATAAATTAAATTAAATTAATTATCCGAAAATATCAGTAACTTCTTTTTAAAATAAATATTTAATCATTATTTTTCCCTAGGAATTAAGATTTTCAATTTAAATCTTTTTAAATTCAATAATTTAAAAGAACATTATTATAAAACATGAAGAAATCGATTGCTCCGAGTCTTTCACTCGGAGTGATCGATTTTTTCCTGTTTTATAATAATTAAAGATGACCAAGTGATAAAATCATTATTTTATAATTACCTATATTAAAAATATTGTTACTGTAACTTCTTAAAAATTATTTTTATCATTTTAATTTAATTATTATTTTTTAGAATTTTTAACTAAACTTATTCTTTAAAGGAATTATTTTTAATAATTTTTAAAAAAGTTCTTTGAGAATTTTCAAATCCATTTGTTTACAATTCAATTTTAACCAAATTTAATTTAATTGAATTTAATTAAAAAAATTTTTTTAATTTAATTTAATTCTTTAATTCTTTAATTCTTTAAGTAAAAACTTGAAATAATTTCAAAAAAAAAATTCAATTAAATTTGCTCAAAAAAAATTAATTCTACAAAATTGTTAGTTAAAAGTATGAAAAATTCAAATTTTCAAAGATTTTAATTTGAAACCTTATTCAAATTCAATTATTTCTAAAAATTGCAATTATTTGTAACTTGTCCGAAATTCAATTATTTTTTTTTTTTGAGTTTTTAACTAAAATTTTTCTCTAAAACAATTATTTTTAATAATTAAATATATATTAAATTCTCTCAGGATTTCAATTATTTAAAATAAATGTAATAAAATTCGTTGCAAGAATTCAATTCTTTTCATATAAATAATAATATTCTTTACAGGATTTCAATTATTTTTAATATAATTTTTAAGTAAATTCTTCAAAAAATGTAATTAATTAAAAAATTTTTATTAAAATTCTTGGAAAGAAATAAATTAACAATATTATCAATTATTTTTAATAATTTTTGCAAAAGTATCTAGAGAATTTTCAAATCCATATGTTCACAATTCAATTTTACGAAATTCATTTTTAAATCAATTTTTATTAGAAAATTCTACGAGAATTCAATTAAATACAAAAATAAATAATTTATTGAATAATTGAATGTTTATTAAAATTCAATTCTGATAAAGAATTTTATCAACGAATTTTTAAATAATTGAATAATAATTTCTGGGATGAGTTTTACTATTTATGAAAATAATTGAATTCGTAAAAAAAATGTTATTATTCTTGAAAGCAATATAAAAAATTGTATTATTTACGAAAATAGTTGAATTACTGGGAAGAAAATTATGAAAGATTTGTAAATAAATATTTACAAATTTTTTAAAAAGATATTTATAAAATATTTTTTATAAATTGTTAATTAAAAGTATGAAAAATTCAAAGTTTTAAAGATTTTAATTTGATACCTTTTCAAAATGCACTTATTTCTAAAAATGCATGCTTTAATGCTTTTAATATTTTTAATTATTATCTAAAATTTTAACTGAAATTCATTTTTTAATTCAATTTTTATTAGAAAAATCTACGAGAATTTAATTAAATAAAAAAATAAATAGGTAATTTATTGAATAATTAAATGTTTCTTTAAATTGAATTCTCATAAAGAATTTTCTCAACGAATTTTAATAAAATTTAAAAATAATTACATTTTTCGAGAAAAATAATTGAAATTCTGTAATGAGTTTTATTATCTATGAAAATAATTGAATCCCTATAACAAATTTTATTATTATGAAAATAAATGAATTATTGCGAAGAAATTTATAAAAAAATTTTGTAAATAATTGAATTCCTGTAAAATATTTATTATATTTATAAAAATAATTAACTGTTTGCCTAGAATTTTATATAAAAAATTGTTTAAATAATTGAATTCTTTTGGAAAATTGCATTAAAATGGTAAATATTGAAAACAATTGGAGTAAGGAAACTTTTTGAAAGTAATTGATTTTCGCAGAAGAATTATATTATTTATAAAGATAATTGGACAAGAATTTTATTAAAATTTTTGAAAATAATTGGATTTTAGAGAATTTTATTATTTATGACAATAATTGAAATTTTGACGAGAATTTAAAAAAAATTTTGAACATTATTGAATTTTGGAGAAAAATTTTATTATTTTTAAAGATAATTGAAATTTTGACAAGAATTTTATTAAAATTTTTGAAAATAATTGAATTTTGAAGAAGAATTTATTTTTAAAATTGAATTCTAATAAAGAATTTTATTAGTTATTTTTAAAAAAATTAAATACTTATTATGAATGTTAATAAAATTTCAATTTCAATTTTTTAAATTGTTTTTAAATAAAATTCTTTCATAAATCCATTATTTTTAATAATTAATTAAATATATATAAATACCGTTTATGTTTAATAAAAATTTATACAAATTTATTTTTATCCCAATTAATTAAACATCAATTATTTTTAAGTTCCTCAGTTTTAAACTTCATTTATAATTGAATATTATAATTGAATAATTATAATTGAAATAATAAACATAAATTATAAATTCCAACAAACAATAAATCAGATAAATTATGATTATGATTCCCCTACATAAATATTCATGCAATTTCGTTTTTTCATTGTCGTTATACTAAAATACTTGATATTTATGATCGATTGTTATTTAATGTATGAAAAATTTCATTTCCACTTGTCAAGAGTTTGACTAATGCAAATTGAGAAAGTATAAGTGAGACAGAGTTGAGAAGGTTATTTTGTTTACGATGTTGGTGATTAAAATTTATGTCCTTTTTAAATAAGTATATAAGTATATATAAGTAAATTTGCAATTTTACACTTAGAATTGGAGAAAAGTTGCACTTTGAAGATTAAGGGGGTTAGTTTTGTGCGCGAGCCTGAGAAAATATTTATGCCCGTGAGATTCCTTTTAAAGGATCTCACGATGCCCGACCATTTTCCCATGGATTTCATCCAACCGGTTCCCGAAAGGTAGAGATGCTTTTAACGCGAGAATAGGACATTCAACCTGTGCGATTTGGCCCTCTAATTTTTAATACTGTTTCTAACATAATCCTTTCAAATTCAATTCATTACGCTCAATAACACTGTCTGCCCACTCAACTTCCTCCGATAATAACAATTAAAACACTCTACTTCGTTTCAATAGTTTCTGATATTTTTTTTTTAAAAAATCGCAATGTGCAGAAATTTATTTTTTAAATAAACTCGAATGGGGAAGAAATTGTTTCAAAATTATGTATAATAATAATTTATTCAAACGAACTTCTGTAAACTCAATGGAGGTGTGTTGATTCAACAAAAATCTATGATCAGACGGCTATCTGTTTGATTCTGTTTCCAAACAAAAAGTTACAATTCGTGAACTCGAACACGAGTTTCTATTTAAAACTCAACTTTCTGTATAATCAACTTTTTACACTAATTAACCTCTAAACTCTAATTGTTGAGAATAATTTTTCAATTAACATATATGTAAATACTGATAGTAACAATCAAGTGCAATTTGTATAATTTACTTTTTTTATCTGCAAAAAAAGAATTGAACTCGTTTTTTTCTCCAAGCAACATTGACATTACACGAGGAGCAATTCTTTGATAATATCTTTTCTCAATCTAAAATTCATATTTTACTACTCCTTTCATAAATTAGAATTTGAAATAATTTCTTTTATCTACTAATTAAAAATAGAAATTTCCCTTTAAATGTAAATTTCCTCAAGCATCTTCACAAGAAAAATTCAGTTTGCAATTTAAACTGTAATTAAATCCAAATATTAAAATTCCGTGTAACAAATTTTATCTCTTTTCGAGAAGTGCAATAAAAATAAAAATAACTACATAATTTTCGTTTCACAATATTATCACAACTTGTTTTTTTTTTGAGGAAAAATGTGTTTGAATTATTTACAATGTTCTTTAGAATTATATTCAGTAAATGAATTTCAATTGTTCGGTATAATTATACGTTACCATAATTACTATCATATTGGAAGAAGAAAAGTTCTCTAATTACTTTAATGTAAACGCTTGAAATACTTCAACTTTTTTTTTCATGTCAAAAATCTAAAGGCAAAGTAACAATAGCCCTTTGATGTCGTTAATGTACAAGTTTCCGAGGTCAATCAGAAATCTATAGTTTAAATCCGGAATGTTTTACACGACTATCATTTCATTCCCATGACTCATTTTTTTATGATGAAATTCCCATCATTCCTCTATGGCAAAAAGGATCAAGAAATCAAAGTATTCAATTTCTGATTTGATAAAACACAATATTTTAAAAAAAGTAACCAATGCGGATATTTTGAATGTATAAATTCGATGCAACAACACAACTATCAACTCACGTTGATTATCACAATGTTTACGTGCACTTTGCAATGCTTTACAACCTATTACTTGTTTATTTAACCTCGTGAATGCAATCGATTCAATGCGGACGCCCTCTCCAGTAATTTGTCACGCTTTCCAAGTGATTCATAAAAGAAGAGATGTGCACGAGGATTCAAATTGTTCCAATATCTTGGAATTTGTGTAGGACATTCCTCCTAGGACAATGTGCAATGTGTTCGAAATGGGAGAAAAGTTAACCTCAACATAAGAAGACAAGAACGTTGTCCGGAAGGTCGAGTTAACACGTGCACGAGGTAAAATTAAGACTTGTCTACTAGGCCACTTGAAACACTCAAAATATCCGCATGAAAATACATTATATGAAACCGGAGCGGTAAAAGACCTCACCCAAAGTTTTCTAGCGTCGTGACCCAAGAAGGCTTCGAATATCAATGCACTGTCAATGATGATTTTCTTAACATAAAAACCAATTTTCACAACCGGCACTTTTCTCCAAGCGATAGAATTTTTCTTCAATGAAGGACGCGAAAAATACAAAAGACCGAGACACTTCCCATAGATATGATTACTGTTCGAATGCAATGCACGCACTACGTCATCTTTTCACTTTACAGCGCCACGAGGAATAGACGAACTAGCACAATAATCTCTTTCTTTCTTTTTTCATTAATTCCACAATTTTTAAACTCACTTTTATCACGAATTCACACGTCACTGTATTTTCTTTACAACGATAAAGTGTTTTTTTAAGAATATATTTACTGTAAACAATGGGTATTGTAATGTTAAATGGGATAATTGTTTGGAAGTGGAGTTGGAAGTCTGCCTTCTCTCATTGTAGTTCCGCGTTTTCCCGCCTTGTCGCCACCTCTCAACTGTGGTCGATAATTAAGATTGGTACCCACTGTCGGTATAGCGGAAAATGTTAGAAAATTTAAATTTTGCTTTTTACGAAATTAAATATTTGAATAAATAAATATTTATATAGTAAAATAAAATATTCAAGTGATAAAATAAAGAAGTAGAAACAAAGGAGTAAAAAAACTGTTGTAATACTTTTTACTACTTTTCTTACATTAAAAAAAAATTGTTCAAAATAATTCAGAAATGATAAACATTTCTAATATGAATTATAATAAATTTATAGTAAATTAATAGTATAATAAATAATACTCCACAATAAATAAAATACACCAGGAAAATATTTAAATATTGAAATTTATTCAATAAGTTGAATCATTAAATAAAATTTGATATCGCTACTACATTATAGAAAAAGCACGGAATTTGTTGTTCCTCTGAAACATTTACAAGGTTTCTATAGAAAAAAAAAAAAAAATTAGAGACAAATAAGGAAAATATCGCTCCTTAAATATTCACGACTTTCTTCCTTATTCAGAGTAATAAAAGAAAAAAAAATTCACTGTTCGACTAACATAACATGGCATGAATTCAATTTTTCTTTTTTTTATAACAATAGCCACAAAATATGGCACACATTTGTTATTTTTTTCAGAAAGAAATTACATATACAACTTTTTTCTCTCTCAAAGAAAAAGTTCACTACACTCTTTCCTCACGCAACTCGAATGACTTTTTAAACAATTTCTTCAATGTCTCCACGTATCACGCAAGTGGAATGGAACAACGCATTACACAATTTTTTTTTGTTTTTTTTATACAAGTTTCCCATTTTTTTATCACAATGTACAGGCAGTATCAGGTATTCCTTATGTAACAGAAATATTCACAGGATACACAGTTTCTTTATATCAACAGAGATTCATCAGACTTGAATTTAAGGTTTAAAAAAAGGGTCTAAAATTTTCTATAAAATTCTGAGACTATTTCTCTAGTTTGCAATTTTTTTAGTAAAATTTTAATTTTTTTATCTGATTCATAATCAAAATATTTGTAATTTAAGTTCATGAATTCGTGAATATTCCAATTTTTTTATTTATTAATATTAGTTAATTTATTTATTTTTTATTTTATTTCATTCATTTTCAATTGTAAATGTTTTTAAACTTTTGAATGTTCAAATAAACGACTATTTTTGTTACATCTTTTAATTAATATTTCTATTAAAATTACGTTGTGTATTTAAAAAATGAATTCTAAATCGTAGATAAATTTGTTACTTTTCTTCCCAGAAAAGTAATTTTAGAAAAAATTAAAACAGAAAAAAATTCGTACTTTTGAACATTCAAAATTTTAGAAAAATTTCATAAAATTTACCAAAAATTCTGAACGTTTAATAAGGGAAAAATTAAAAAAAAATCTTTTCTCAAATCCCACAAGATAAACGTTCAGAACTTAACAGATTTGACATTTACAAAACACTGACAAACTACTTATCGATAAAAAAAAATTGAGTAAAATGTAAAAAGTTCCAAATATCCAAGAAAAATGTACATATACAATATAAAAGTAAAAAAGAAAATTTCGCGAGTATGAAATTTATCGAAATTCATTTAAATACTAAAAGTGCAATTCACAAAGAGGTTTGTTTGCACGAAAAACAGTTTCGTTCATTCAATATGGTCAAAATGATATTTGACTGGCTGCCAAATCTAACTTTATGAAACTCTGTTGTAATACAAATACAAATACAAATACAAATACAAATACAATCGGCCTATAACTGCGGCAGCTGTAAACTTTATCGAGATCGAAAATGTTACAAGACGAATGTTATCGGTTTTTTTTTTTTTTTTTTTTTTTTTTTTGCTATCGTGGCAAAGTATTGTAACGATAGAAAAAGAAGTGGACAATATTGAAATTACTCCTGTTGTACAAATATGGAAAAAAGTGCACAATGGATATCGAACGAAATTTCCCCCCCGAAAAAAAAGAAATAGAGAAAGACTTCTTAGTTTAAGGCATTTTCAGTTCTGCTTTTACAAACATAAAAATCGACGAGTCAGTTCGTTTAACGTCAATATACAAAAGGATCGTTGTATCCATTGTGTACTTGAACATCGTTAGATCAACACATTCATTCACGCATATACTGAGAAATCGACAATTTTCCTTTGATATCAGACGAAAATCATTTTTTTGTTTGTACAATTTTTTTTCTCCTCATTTCATATTCGGACAAATCGACGAGTTTCACTCTTAATTTCAGACAAATGTGTTCGTGTGTTCTGGGGCACTTTTAATGACGGCGTTTTAATATTTTCACAACAATTTACATTCGTAGTCTCTTATTTTTTTTCATTTTTTTTTGTTCGATTTTATTTCTTTTTTCTATTTGATTTTATTTCTCTTTTTTATTTCTATTTCTTTATTCGATATTATTTCTATTTTTTATTCGATCTTATTTGTTTTCTATTTTCTTATTTGATTCTATTTTTATTTTCTCTTATTTTTTATTAAATATCTTAGTTAATTATTATTTTCGATTATTCTTTACGAAAGATAAAGATAGTAGATAATAAACTTTATTTATTTATTTATCAACTTTAGTAAAGAATATTTATACATTATTGTAACAAAAACAAAAAATTTAAAAATATTATCGTATCGATAGAAATTTTAATAGAAATTTATCGAGAAATAAAAGAGAGAGATAAGAGAAAAGAAGAAAAATTGTTGAGAAAATAATAAACGCTCGAGTCTATTCTAGAAGGGAACACCTAACACCTATACTTTTTACATTACACATTTCTAACTGAATTATTTAATACAAAAGAAAAACACCTCTATTACGCTCGATACTATTTTTTGTCAAACTAATTTGTTCATGAATTTCTGTACACTTGGAGCACGATACTTTCCATTTTTCAAGTACAAATATTACATTGCAGACATTTTGTTAGAAACATTTTTTTAAAAACCCTGTATTTTCGAAAATAATTTTTGACTCGAAGCAATTTTTTGCAAAAAGAAAGAAAGTACAATGTTGAAATTTCAATTAATTTCCTGATGAATAATTGAAAAACGAACTAAAATAGAAATATTAGAAATTAATGGAAATTTACAAAATTGTACCGTATTTTTATAAAAAGTTTCGAATTAGAGAGTAAAAAAAAATCCCTAAAGTTTTGAACGTTCAAATTCTTCTCTTTTTCGAAAAAATACTAAAATAAAGAGTAAAAATTTTTTAATTCTATCCAACTTTTTTATCTCAAATTCAAATATTATTGAAATTAAAAGAAGTAGTCTGAACGTTCGAAACTAAGGACATAAAATTACAATATATAAACGCCTAAAAGAAATAAGTTAATTAAATTACTTAAAATAAAATAAATACGTTTTTTTTAATACAAATTTTTGAAAAAATCTCTGATATTTTTGAATAAAATTTTTGAAAAAGATTTTTTTAGTTAGAATTCAAATTCGGTTTATAATTATTGCTTCTGAAAAATTAATTTCCTAACATGTTTGGCAAAGACTTGGTTTTCAATTGGATAATCCTATAATTATATAAATGTCGATTCACAAAGTGAATCAAAATATGTACGTTTCTTGATAAAACCATTTTAAAACGTAGTCGAATTATTTTTATATTAATTTTATATATATATTTATAATATAATTACAAATAATTATATATTTATATATAATATTAAATTTTAATATTTCACTAGATTTGTAAGACATCTATCGTATGCCGAAGTTTATTTTCGTCAAGATGGTGTGGAAGTTTTTTTTTTTTTTTTTATTTTTTACGGTCAAGTCCGCAATTAGGACCACTATTTGACTTTATCACAGGAGTCAGTTTTCGACCGCATACTGACGCCACACTGACGCTTTATTTATTTATTTATTTATCTTTTTAATAAAATACCAAATCTAATAGCTAAAGACTAAAGAAGGAGAGTTACGAATGATTCTTATATATACTATATATTACTTTTTCTAAAATTCACTGGACTTTTTCTTTTCTTGTTTTTGAATCACTGGATTTTCTTTTTTTGGAAAATCGTCGGATTTTATTAAAATTAAAAACAGCAAATTAAAAATACTTTTGAAGAATAATTTACGAGTCGATTAAATAAAACTATCTACTATTTGAGGGAATCTACCGCATTTGATGCTGTAATCGTTTTTCGAAATTTCAGTACTTTTCAAATTTATTTATTATTTAAAAAATTTAAAATACTTCCAAAGATTTCGGGAACGATTCGTAGTTCTCCTTCGAAATTTATTTACAAATTTGAAATCGATTAGAAACAAACTCGAAATTCTGTCAATGCATTAGAATTTTTTTTTGTCTATTTTTTTTAAATTGTGCATTATTGTCGCAGTTTGACGAGAAAGTTTCTATCTCTCGATTTCCTTTTTCTCCAGCAAGCGTCGCTTCAAGAACTATACAATACACAACGAACGCTTAATAAATATTCAGTCCCGTTTTTTTTTGCTTTTCGTATACTCAGTTTCGTCAGATAAAGTTAACGATTTTCACGAGAATCAACGGAGTACCATTATTATCGTCTCAAGTTTTTTTACTTTGGAAATCGAGTATATATAATATTGAAGCGCTTCACAAATTTGTTGAGCCAGCTCTTGTCGTTTTTCCCCCCGCGAAAAAAAAGGATTATTCACTGGCACTTCAATTTCGACGAGTTCACTTTTGTCGATTCACTTTTAATCAACTGAGTACACGGTCCGCTTTCTCGATCAGATCGAAACGAAATAGTTCGAAATAAAAAAAAATATATATTTACACAATATTATGTGAATTTAAAATCCACAAAATCACAGCCACTCGGTAAGACAACCGCCAAACCACATAACAGCTATTGGGAAAAGATACGTCGCCAATGCCCTCGATAGCGACATCTTCTGCCTCGGCGCACCACTGTCAACGGACGATGTTTTGTTGACACTCGGCGTCTTCGGTTCAATATCCACTCGAGGTGTGATATCCTTATGAACCATGGGAGGTAAATTATTCTTCGGAACTTCGGGAACTGGCTCCTGATCATAGCCCGAACCTTCCTCTCTGAAACCGTCCTCGTCATCTGTTATTGGATCTTCCTCGGCATTGTCTCCAGAACCACTTCCGGATCCATACCACGATTCTTCTGCAAAAAAAAATTTCCCCAATTAGAAAAATTATTTTTCTTTACAAAAGCATTCGTTCTACAGAATCAACTGTAGAAAGTCTACGAAAAATGTAAAGTGTTCTTTTTTCACCATAAAATATTTCTTCAGTAATTGAATATTAAATTTCCCCGTTAAAAAAAAAAAATGTTTGAAAAAATATAGTCTCGCAGGAATCTGATAATTAATGGCTGTTTAGAGGATTGTTTCATTGTTGATAGTTGAAACCAGGACAGAAATCAAGACAAGATCAATTCAATCTGCAATGCAAATTACCTGTATCGATCCAATCAACGTCGTGACCATTGTAGGCAGAGCGTAGCCTATTCGTAATGGTCGTTAGTTGAAATAGTTGTTCTCTAACTATTGCGGGCCTGGGACCACCTTCTCTCACTTCTGGATTTAAGGTTTGCGTCTCACCATCCGAAGACACTGGATATATGTATCTAAAAAAAGAAATAACAGTTATAATTTAGAAAAAAAAATAATAAACACATTCCAAACGTGAAATCAATTCAAAAATTCTTGACGAAAAGGAATTTTAACATTTTCATATTCAACTGAAGTTTTATTTAATCAAAAACATATATTTAATTGAGTATTAATATAATACTGGCGAATGTTACGCGTGAGAGAGCACGAAACGTGGTATTGAATTTATTATTATTATGCAAATGACAAAATTTTTTATTTTTCAATATTAAACTTCAATTTTTGAATAAATTAAAATTTTTAATTTCTAAAAATCCACTAGCTAAATTATTATTGGAAATTGTTTATTATTTTCTAGAATTTTAATAAAATTCTTCGAAAAAATTCAATTTTCAAAAAATTTAATTAAATTCTCCCCAAGAATTCAATTATTCAAAATTATTATTCAAAATTATTCAATTATACAGAATTCAATTTTCAAAAAATTTAATTAAATTCTCCACAAGAATTCAATTACTTTTAATTTAATAAAATTCTTCTCAAGAATTCAATTATTTTCAAAAATTTTAAAAAAATTCTTCTCAAGAATCCAATTATTTTTAAAAATTTGAATAAAATTCTTCTCAAAAATCCAATTATTTTCAAAAATTTGAATAAAATTCATCGAAAAAATTCAATTTTCAAATAATTTAATAAAAATTCTCACCAAGAATTCAATTATTTTTAATTTAATCAAATTATTTAATACAATTTAATTATTTTAAAAAAATTTAATAAAATTTTTCTCAAGAATTCAATTATAATAACAAATTTTAAAAAAATTATTCAAAAAATTCAATTATAAAAAAATTTAACAAAATTCTCCCCAAGAATTCAATGATTTTTAATTTAATCAAATTCTTTTCAAGAATTCAATTATTTTCAAAAAATTTAAGAAATTCTTCAAAAGAATTAAAATTTTTACAAAAACTATAAAGAAATTACTTAAAAGATTAAAATTTTTTTATGAATAATTTTAATAAAATTATTAATTGAAATTAGGATTAAAAAAATCGATTACATTCTAAAAATTTCAGAAATGTTTCAAAAAGTGCAATTTTTGCCAAAAACTTGAAGTATTCATCAAAAGAATTTAATTATTTTCAAAATATTAATAAAATTTTTAGAATAGGTAAATTAAATTTAAAAAAATTATAATAAAATCCTGAGAAGAATTCAATTATTTTCTATAAAATTTTTTTATAAATTTAAAAAATCAAATTTTCAACTACAATTATTAACAGAAACGATTATTTTAAAAATTTGAAGAAATTCTTTGTGAAATTAAATTACTTTAAAACTTTTCAATTAAAATTATTTTAAAAAAAAATTATTTTTTTCAAAAAAATTTAAATTAATTTTTTAAAACGTTTTAATTATTTTCAACAATTTTAATAAGAAACCTTCCAAAAATTCAATTTTGTAGTTTTATAAAAAAAAATAGTTCGCCGGAATTCAATTATTTACACTCAAATTTTTATAAAATTTCTCAAAAAGAATTTCAGAAAAGAATTTAATTATTTCCTAAAATTTTAATAAAATTCTTCGCCAGAATTCAAATATTTTTATAAACAACAAAATTCTTTGCAGAAATACAATTATTTTTAAACAAATTTGAAGAAAATTTCTCCAAAGAATTCAATTATGTATTTTTCAAAATTTTAGTAAAATTCTTTATAAAGAATTCAATTGTTTTCAAAAATGTTTGATAAAACTTGTTGAATTTAATTATTTTCAATAGAATTGTAGTTAAAATTCTTTGAAAGAATTAGATTATTTTCAAACTTTTTTTAATATTCTATACAGGAATTAAATTATTTTAGAATCAAAATTATAGAAGTTACGAACATTATAACTTTTTAAATCAAAAATGTTTCGAAAAAATTCACCTATGATCACAATATTTTTTTACAAAAATAGCATCACTAAATTTATTCTATAAATCTGAATCAGTAAAAATTAAAACTAATTAGAACAAAAGTGATATGAAGTTTGTAGGAATAATTTTTTAATCTAATAATGTTTAAACAAAAATTTTTAATTTAAAACAAGACATAAAAAAATATATTTCAGTTCAACTATTTAAAAAAAAACTTTGATTGCATAACAATAATAGAGAAATAAAAAAATATTAGGAAATAAAAAAACAAACAAAATCAACTAAATTTCAATTTCGAACGCAGATATTCTGAATATAATGATTATTAAATAATAGAGAGATTATAATTTTATTCTAATAATTATTCAGTAAAATTTTTCTTCTTCTATAGTTAAATGAAAATTTGGTTCAATTGTTCCTTTTGAATTTTTAGATTTTAGATATTCAAAACAAATATTATTCAGAAAAAATTTTATATGAAAATTTTGTTCTATTGTTCCTTTTGAGGGAATTTTCAGATTTTATTTATCTAAAGGAAGGAAAAAAATTGAGAAAATACTCACTTATCTACATGTGTGCCATTCCAACATTCCTTCGTATTACTGGGAGGAACCACCAGACCATCATTGCACAGCTGATACGGTAAATAAACCCAAAACTGTTTCGAATCTCTGATTTTCTGTTTGATCTCCTTCACCAATTTATCAAGCATCACCGCCGTTGAGGAACGATCTTCCGACATTAAATTTTCATCATAATTCAATGGCTCCAAATCAATGTCTTTACTCCGTCTTCTGCGTCGCCCCAATTGGGGACGTCCACAGCCAGCAAATACTTTTTGCGAAACCTCGTGACTATTCTCCTGAAAATTCATTATAGCCTCGGAAATTTTCAAATTTATCGGCCGCACCAACATTTCAATATTAAATGGACCCAAGAGTCGATCGGCGACATTATTGACAGCCTCTGAAATCAGAAACATTTCAATTACATTTCCATCTAGATTTCCATTTGTATAACAAATAACAAACATGAATTTAATTACACGAAATAATGAATTTTATATAAATCGCAAATAAGAGAGAGAGAAAATATCCATTTCCAAGTATAAAAATGCATTGGCTAAATCTTGTACCATTAATAAATTCCGAGAAGCTCATATTAATTAAGAGATAAATTGGAAGTTTTTTTATCATCAAGAGTTACTCATCGCATTTGGCTTTCTTTAATTGAAGAGAGAATTATTCGAATAAAGAAAATTATGCAAAAGAACCTCAAATTTCGCCTTCTTTTAGTCGCAAATTATCAAAAGAAACCGCGACTCTCTGAAAATATTAAATATGCAAGAGATTGCCTTAAATGAAGTAAACAGAGTGAATTATTAAAAATAAAGAAATGTTTTACTCATAGTACGAAATGAATTAAGGCGCCTGAAAAATTAAATTCGCTTCTTTTAAAATGTCTGACTTCTATTTTCGACTAATTTCAACGATTACTTATCTATTATCAACTAAATATTTAATTGAATCAAATAATTTTTATTTAAGTCAATTAAATTTTAATTCAACTAATAATTTCAGTATTTGAAGCAAATGCAATTTAATTTACTGAAATAAAAATTATTTGATACAAGAAAATACTTATTTGATAAATAATAGACAAGTAATCGTTTATTTGAATTAAATACATTTCTTTAATGTATAAAAAAATCAAGAGAAGTTGATTTATTAAGAAAAATAATTTTATGGAAGCAAAAATTTGTTTTTAGGGGCGTCTAACTATTTAAAAAAATAACTAGATTTCAGCGAACTTTACACGATTATTTATAAAAATTTTAATAAAATTCTTGAAATATTCAATTAATCTTAATAATAGAATAATAGAAATGATAGAAAAAATGATAGAAAATGATAGAATAATAATAGAATTTTTTAAAAATTCAATTATTTCCCAATTTCCCAATTACTTATTTATACAAAAACCCAATTACCATTAAAAAATAGAACTGGAATATATTTCCAACGTAATTTTTTAGAATTTTAAATAAATTTTTTCGAAACTTCAATTTTTTAAAAAAAATTTTGAATTCAAATATTCTTAAAATTAAATAATTAACAGAAAATTTAGAAATTAAATTATTTTAGATGCAAATTATACCCTTAAATGCTGCTTTTTACGTTAATTAAAACAAATTTGATTATATCTCTCTTTGTAAAATTCAATTATCCAATTATTAAATTAAAATTCTTTAAAACTTCCATTTTTTTCAATTTCTAACGAACTTCTCTAATAAATTTATTTATTTTTAATTCAATTTAAATTATTTATTAAATATTAGTAATTATTATTTGGTATAATTTAAATAATTTCAAATAATTATTATTCAATTCTAATTTTAGTGATTTTTTTTAAATTCAAGTATCTTTAAATAATTGAATTTTAAAAAGATTAAAGTGGCAACTTTTATAAATAATTGAATTTTAGAAGGTTTTGAATTAAAATTTTTTAAATTGAATTCGAATTGATTTTCAAAATTATTTAAATTTTTATAAATTACTGAATTTCAATGAATTTATAATTAAATTGTTTTTATAAATAATTGAATTACAAAAGGTTTACAATTCTAATTTTTATAAAAAATAATAATTAAATTTCAAAGAATTTTAAATTGAAATTTTCGGAAATAATTGAATTTGAAGAAGTTTTCAATTAAAATCGTTAAAAATTTATTATTTATTATTTTCTAGAATTATAATGAAATTGGCCAAAAAAATTCAATTATTTTCAAAAATGTTACTAAAATTATTCTAAGAAATTTAATTATTTTCAAGAATTTTAATAACATTCTTCGAAAAAATTCAATTTTCAAAAAATTTAATAAAGTTTTCTCCAAGAATTCAATTATTTTTAATTTAATCAAATTATTTACTAATACAATTTAATTATTCTTAAAAAATTAATTAATTGAATTTGAAAAAGTTTTCAATTAAAATCTTTAAAAATAGATGAATTTTGATGGATTTTAAATTGAAATTTCTTTAAATAATTTAATTTGAAATGGTTTTAAAATAAAATTTTTACAAATAATTGAATTTCAGAAGGTTCTGAATAAAATGTTTTTAAATTGAATTTGAATTGATTTTGATTATTGAAATTTTTATAAATAAATGAATTTCAAAGAATTTATAATTGAATTTTTTTTATTTAAATAATTGAATTACAATTAAGATTTATAATTCTAATTTTTATAAATAATAATTGAATTTCAAGGATTTTTAAATTGAAATTTTTGGAAATAATTGAATTTGAAAGGATTTTGTATTGCAATTTTCTTACGATTAATTTTTAATTACCAATTTCAATTAATTGACAATTTCTTATTAAATTTTTTAAAATTCAAGTATACCTTTAAAGAATTAAGTTAAAATTCCAGACTAATTTTTTCAAAGTTTTAATTAATTTCTGTAAAATTTAAATAATTTTTGCAAATAAATGTATTTATGTACCTCAATTTTGGTTCTAATTCTAGAAATTTCATTTTTTTTCAGTACTTTTGATAAAATCTCCTAGCATTTTCCTGATTTTCCTGACCATTGTCAACCCACGTGGGTGAATTTTATAACATTTATGATCCAACGATAATTATTTTTATAATCACATTATTATTTTTATCAATAAATAATTTTTTTTTTTTAACAGAAAACAATATTTTTTGTTAACAAATTGTTATATTTTGAATTTTCAATGAAGAAATATTGTTAAAAAAAAAGATTTCAGCTAAAAATTTGAATAGAAAAAACATTATTTCTGCATTAACACAGTTTTTCCAAGGATATCAAATTGAAAAAAAAAAAATTAATCAAAAGTGTTGCGAACAATTTTTTTTTAAATCAAAATACAAAAAATAGAATATTTTTCAACAAAAAATATTTTTTCTATAGGTACTAACACTGTTTCTCTAAGGATATCAAATTGAAAAAAAAAAATTAATCAAAAGTGTTGCGAACAATTTTTTTTTAAATCAAAATACAAAAAATAGAATATTTTTCAACAAAAAATATTTTTTCTATAGGTACTAACACTGTTTCTCTAAGGATATCAAATTGAGACAGAAAAATTAATAAAAAATGTTGCGAAGCAATACGTTTTGATTAATTTTTTTGTCTCAATTTGATATCCTTAGAAAAATTGTAAAATCGTTGATTATAAAAGTTGTGAACTTCATCCTGCATTTGATTATTAAAAAAAAAATATACCAGACACTTATTCAAGAATCGTTAATTGCTTTAAAGTATATATATATATATATATATGAATATATAAGCGATGGAAAATCAGAGAAGAACTCACCGACAAAATGATTCCATTCAGCGTCAAGTGCTGCGTGATGTGCGAGGCAGCCCTTCATCACATTTGCGCACATGTCACTACACGCCAAAACATTGCCAGGAATCCCGCTGCAGGACGGACAGGCCGTCATTCTCGTTAATGCTGCAGCACACTCGGCTGATGGTTTTAGCTGCGACAACAAGTTTATTACAATTATATTAGGAATAATTCAACGGTACATGCTTCTGTTCTAGATAAATCAATTTCATTCTCGCGGTGTTAATTCGTTTATATCTCAAAACTGAAAGCTTTTCCATTCCCTATATAGGTACTGACAAGAGGGCTTTATACCGTTTTACAATAAACAAAAAGGGTGATTCGAATAAATATATACCTATATACATACACCGACTATATAGAGCTTAAAATTCAACAAGTTACAGTTTCAAATAACCAGTTTAAAAGTAACAAAAAAGTCTGCTAAACGAAAAGCCTTTGACTCTAAAAGCTTTTAAATTGAATAGGTTGTAAAGATAAAAACTTTCATCCCGAACAAAAACGATAATCGAATTAAATGCACGAAGATTATCGTACGGGGGAAAATTAAATAATCTGTGGACTTAAATAGCACACCTTTTCTGCACAGCTTGCAATTATTGTAATTTCTAAAATACGTAAATGTAATTATTTTTCTTTTAAAGTTATTTTTAGAATAAATTAACGTAATCTTTAGGGTTTCAGTCTTGGGGTCGATTATGAAATTTCGTTTCTATTTTGGCTCTTTATTTTCACGTTGATAGATTTTTATTTCCATTTGGATTTTTACTTTCTCTTTGGCAAATTTTTATTTTCACTTTTACTTTAATTTTGATCGATTTTTATTTTCAACTTTCACTTTCATTTTCACTTTTAATTTGGTCGATTTTTATTTTCATTTTCATTTTTATCAATTTTTAGTTTCAACTTTCATTTCCATTTTTTTTACTTTGATCGATTTTTATTTTCACTTTCATTTTCTCATAAAAATTAAAAATTTATCAAAGAGGAAATGAGAGTGAAAATAAAAATCTATTAAAAAGGAAATGAAAGTGAAAGTTAAAAATGAAAGTGAAAATGAAATTACATAATTGACTCCCAGTAATTAATACAATAAATAATATAATAATAATAATAAATAAATGAAAAGGACTATTTAATTTAAATTTTGATTTTAAAATTTTTTAAATTGTAATCTTTTGCAATTTATTCATTTTTATTTTAAACTTACCGTTTGCATATTTTTCAGGACATCGGCCGCGACATTGAGAGCTTGACTGAATGCTCTCGTGGCGACAAATGACCTTTTAACTTGATTTCCTAATTTCGAAGGCACATCTCCAAATGGTCCCATTTCTTTCATGTGCATTCCAACACACTCCAAGTACTTTGCATCGAAAGTATACTGACTATTCAGTACAGTAAACATTTTCTGATAAAGGGTATTGAAAAAATTGTCCATCACATCGTCCAAGTCAACCTGCAAACAAAGAAATAAATTAATCAATTGGAAAATATCTAATTATTTTATTTTCATTAAATAAATAATTATTTTGTTATGTATTTTATTATACTACCAAATGTTACGCGTTAATTAGAAATTTTAAAGAACTTACACGGAGAGAGAATATATATTAAATTTTGTAAAAATATTTTCAAATTGGGGAAAAAGTGCGACAAAGCGAAATTTTGATATCAAAAAATACTAAACTTTAAAAAAACTTATGTGAAATTTAGTATAATTATATCAAATATCAAGAATATTAATTAAATTCTAATATAACTTTACTAAATTTCATATAAGTTTTTTTAAAGTTTAGTATTTTTTGATATCAAAATTTCGCTTTGTCGCACTTTTTCCCCAATTTGAAAATATTTTTACAAAATTTAATATATATTCTCTCTCCGTGTAGATTTTAGAAAAATTTTAACAATTCAAATTCTTCTGAAATTAGCTATTACATTTTTTAATAAATATTTAATTAATTATCAAAAATAATGGATTTATAGAAGAATTTTAGTTAAAAACAGTAAAAAAAAAGGAATTTTGAAAAAGTTAAAAATCATTGCAGAAATTCAATTATTTTCAAAAGTAATATAATTCTTATCACAAAATTTAATTATGTTCAAAAATATAAAAAAATTCTCGTCAAAATTTCAATTATTTTTGTAAATAATAAAATTCTTCTCTTCGAAATTCAATTATTTTCAAAATTTTAATAAACTCTTTGGCAAAATTTCAATTTTTTAAAAAATTTTCTAAAAGAATTCATTTATTTAAAAAAAAAATTTCATAAAATTCTTTAAGCAGACATTTAATTATTTTCATAAATAATAAAAATTTCACAGGATTTCAAGTATTTAAGAATTTTTTTTTATAAATTACTTCGCAATAATTCAATTATTTTTATAAGTAATAAATTTTTCACAGGAATTCAATTATTTTCATAAATAATAAAATTGCTCTAAATAATTCAATTATTTTCAAAAATATTTTTTAAAATTTCTTTGCATAATTCAATTATTTCAAAATTTTTTTTTTTTAAATTTCGCAGTAATTCAATTATTTTTATAATGAATAATTTTCTCTACAGAATTCAATTTATTTAAAATTAAATTAAATTACTAAATTAAATGAAATTTAAGAATTCAATTATTTAAAAAAATTTAATTATTTTTATAAATAATAAAAATTTCACAAGAGTTCAATTATTTATGAATTTTTTATAAATTTCTTCGCAAGAATTCAATCATGTTCATAAATAATAAAATGCTTTTTAGGAATTCAATTATTTTCAAAAATTTTATGTTAAAATTTCTTTATATGAACTCAATTATTTTCTAATATTTAAAAAAAGTCTTCGCAGTAATTCAAATATTTTCATAAATAATAATTTTCTCTAAAAAAATTAAATTATTTTAAAAAATTTTAATAACACTTTCTGAAACTATTTCTTTTCAAAAATATTTTGATAAAGTTTCTTTATGTGAATTTAATTATTTTTAATACAATTTCAATTAAATTTCTCGAAAAAATGTAGTTATTTTCAAAATTATTAGAAAATTTTAATTTTACACAATTTTAATAAAAATTCACCTATAAAAGTTAGTATCGTAAAAATATAAAAAATTTAAAGAATTTCAATTATTTTCATAAATAATATAACTCATCACAGATTTTCAATTACTTTTAATATACAATTTTAATCAAATTCCTCGAAAAATATAAATGTTCTTATACATTTTATTACAATTTATCAAAAGAATTCAATTATTTAAAAAGATGTTGATAAAATTCTTCATGGAAATTCAATTTTAAGAAAAATTCAATTATTTTGATAAATACCAAAATTCTTCCCAGAGATTCAATTATTTTCATGAATTTTAATAAAATTCTTTGCAATATTCAATTATTTTCAAAAATGTTTAATTAAAAAAAATTTCATTTAAAGTTTTATGCAATAATTGAATATTAATTGCATTATAGCTTAAATTTTTAGAAATAATTGAATTTTGGGAAAGATTTCAAATCAAAATTTCTCAAAAATTGAATTTTTCATCTACTTTTACCGTATTAATTGACAATTATGTATAGAGTTATTAAAATTTTTAATTAAATTTTTTTTGAAATTATTTAAAGTTTTTATTTCTTAAAATTTCTTTTAAAAAATAGTAATTGAATTTGAATGAAAAAAAAATTTTAAAGAAGTTACAGTAAAAATATTCGTATGGAAAAATAATAATAATTAAATATTTATTTAAAAAAGAAATTATTGATGTTTTCGAATAATACAATAAATCACAATTAAAGAAATTCGTAAATAAATGCAATAGAATACTTTTTGAGTATCTAATAATTTGAAGAATGAATCAGAATATTCTTTAGAGCCAGAAAAAAAATCAAAATTTTTTCTAGAAATCACGTAAAAGTCAGGGAATAAAAAAATTAAAATTTTTGTGTCAACCCTGTTGCAAAAAGAAGATATTTTTCGCTCTTGGTTCACAATCTACTATTTTACAAAGTATCTCGATCCACCATTTCAAAAAAAAATTAAATTAGAATTATATTTTTAATTTTTTACCATTATATGTTTAATATTTATTATCTACTTCGTTTTCTCTAAAAAATGGTTTTTAATTACTGGTTATAATGGTTTTTAATTTTAATTAACTAATAATAATAATAATAATAATGAATATGATTAGCAACGATGAAGAAAGAAATTTTTCAGTAAATAATATCGCAGTCGATAGAATATATAATGATCGATCATCAGGAAAACTCAGAACCATCATTTTAGTTTGACGTAACGAATTATCCTTTCCTCTAAACCAGTTGTGGCAAATTGTAAATCATGCGAAACACGTTGCCTCTGTTTATCTCCTGGGTTTCGTTGCAATCGCGCACACACCATACTAAAGAGATGTTTTATAAATGAGTGTTGATTCGAGGATAATAGTTGCACGAAGCACGAACGTACGCGAATAATTTCACTCATTAATGAAATGTAAAGGATGTTATAACAATGAAGAAAAATTAACACCAGCAGCACCACAAAAATGCGGTTGCAAATAAAATTCGACACGCTCATTAATTATTATGTCAGATGTATCTATAATGGATTTCACGAAATTAGTTCCTTTAAATTCACGCTTTTTAAACGGTACTTAAAAAATAATTGTTAATAAATCAGTTTCATTATTGATACTTGGAAAATAATAATTATTAAATCCGTTTGAAACGGTACTTAAAAAATAATTTAATTTTTTAATTGTGTCTCCAAAGCAAGAGACCCAAATAGCAAAACAAATAAAGAAACAATAAAGAAAGAATTTTATTTCAATTTATCAAAATTGTATTTTTGCTACTTTTTACTTTTTATCATTTTTTTTTTAATTGACGAGCGCGAAAAGAAAAGAATTTACAAAAATAGTAACAGACATTGAATCTAGAAAGTTTGACAATTAGTATCAATTAATTTCAATTTTCGATTCACTTTAGTTTGCAATATTTTTATCATCTCCTATTTTTCAGAATTATCTTTAGTTTTGGAGTTAATTTATTTGATAAAGGAACTTATATTTAAAATCTCACTTAGTAAAAATAAAAAAATCATTATAAAATAAAAATAAAAAAAAACCATTAGTAGCTCTTTCTGAAATTAATTATTATTATTAATTTATTATTATTTCATAATTAATTATTATTGTTTATATTTTCAAAAATTTTAATATAATTCTTAGCAAGAATTCAATAATTTTTATAATTAATAACATTCTTCGGAAGAATTAAATTATTTTTATAAATAGTCAAATTCCTCGCAGGAATTGAATTATTTTCAATACAGCTTTAATAAACTTTTACGAAAGAATTCAATTATTTTCTAAAATTTGAATAAATCCATTAAAACAATTCAATTATTTTTTTTTAATAGTAAAAACTTTTCAACACATTCAATTATTTTTAATTCTTTTAATTTTTTTCCTTCTCGTTTCCTTCTGGTTATATAAAATCTTTTTTCTTTTTCTTTTTTCTTTTTTTCTGTAAAATTCCTTAAAAAATTCATTAATTTTCAAAACGTTTAATAAATTTCTTGAAAAATATTCAAATATCTTCTTCAAAACTTAAGAAATTTCAATTATAATTCCAAAATTTAATAAAATTTAAAAATTAATTAAAACAATTCTAAAATTGAGTTAATTTCCAAAAATTCAATTATTTCTAAAATTGTATATAAAATTTATTTTAAAAATTCAATTATTTTCAAAAATTTTAAGCAATTTCTTGTGAAATATTAAATTATATTCTATAAAAATAAGAAAATGATAAAATTTGTTTATAAAAATTTAATTATGTCAATTTTTCAATAAAATTCTTTGAAAAATGAAATTTCTTTTTATAGAATTTAAAAATTAATTTTTCAGAATTTTAAATACAATTTCTTTAAAGAATTCAATTATGTTCAAAAATCTACAAAAATTCTTGTCAAAATTTCAATTATATTTATAAATAATAACATTCTTCAGAATTATTAGAAAATTCTAGAAAAATTCAATTATTTAAATTAAAAAAAAAAAATTGAATGTTTGTTAAAATTGAATTCTCATAAAGAATTTTACCAACAAATTTTTAAATATAATTCAATTCTTTTGACAAATTTTAATAAAACTTTTTAAGAATAATAACATTTTTCGAGAAATTCGATTAAAATATTGTATAAAAAATAATAGAAATCCTGCAATGAGTTTTATTATTCATGAAATTAATTAAAATTTTCCCAAGAATTTTATTAAAATTTTTCTAAAATAATATTGAATTTCGGAAAAGAATTTTCTTATTTATAAAGACACTTGAAATTTTGACAAGAATTTTTTTTATCATAATTGAATTTCTGCGACGAATTTTATTATATTTACAAAAATAATTGAATTCTTGATAAGAACTTTGTTAAATTTTTTTTAAATAATTGAATTCTTGCG